TGTGATGGAGGGGTCAGAATTTTCTCCAGAGTTTTTTAATATTGGAACCACAGATGCCAACAAGCAGGAAAACAAGACTCAGTCAAACACTTGTTAAATAGTTTAGAGAGAATTGAAGAAAGTTCTGGAGAACAATTCTGCAAGACTGTGACAGGAATGTTGTCTGGACCACAAGCTGTAGATGAGTGTAATTGAGATATGACTTTAGCAACAGAAGCTGGAGTGATTTGAATGTCTAACAATGGGTCAACCTGTTTGACTGGAATGAAAGGAAGAGAATGTCCATAAGATTCAAGAGTGGAATTAGAAGAAAAGTTCTTTGCAAACAGTTCTGCCTTATCCCTGGGAGAGGTGACAAGATCAGTCCCATGAATGAGAGATGGAATGTTAGATCTACCCTTGTTAACAATGCTGTTGAAGATTTTCCAAAAGTCTTCAGAGCCTAACTTCTGCGATAAGATGCAAGATTTAGTGAACTGAGAATAATGGAGTTTAGCATCAGAAAGAACCTTTTTACATCGATTTCTTGCAATAATAAATAGCCGTTTGTTCTCAAGAGAGTTGTTCTTTTGAAAAAGATGAAAAAAATGATTACGATTGGATATAGCAGCCGCACAAGAAGGAGAAAACCATGGAGTAGAATGAGGCTTGACTTGAAACCAACGGGAAGGAATAAAAGCTTCCATTCCAGCCTGAATCCAGGAGGTTACGTAGGAGGCACATTTGTCAGCTGAGAGAGAAAAAACATCAGCCCAAGGACCATCACGAAGAAAATCACGAAAGGAATCCCAGTCAGCTTTAGGGTAGTAGTAGGTGGTGCGATGATAAGGTGAGCCTAAAAAAGAAGTACGAAAAGAAAGATTTATAGAGATCATTGCATTGTCAGAACCACCTAAGGGAGAAAAGGGAGAAACTGAACATAAGCTAGGGTCAGAGACAAGACATAAGTCAAGGAGTGAAGGTAAATGATTAGGGTTGTCAGGAAAACGAGTCACAAAGTTAACTATCTGAGTAAGAGATTGAGAAACGCAGAAGTTAAAGGCTTTAGTGCCAGCAGGATCAGTGGTGTTAGAGCCAAGCCATTCAGTGTGATGGGCATTAAAATCACCAACAACAACAATATTGGCAGAGGGGTAAAGAGAGAGGGCATGGTCAATTTGATCAGAGATAACATCTAAAAAAGTGCAATCATGGGAAGAAGGAGAATGATAAAGAACAAAGAGAAAGGTGATAGAGTGAAGAGGTGCTAGACGAAAGCACATAAAAGAATGGTCAAAGGATTCGAACCTGATTTCACGACAAATAGGGGAATTAATGCGTATGTATACCCCTAAACCTAGCATGTGACTATTGGAGTCTTTACGAATCAAAGGATAGTACCCATCAACACTGACATCTGAAGAAGGAATTGCAGAACTTAAATATGTTTCACTGAGTGCAAGCAAGTCTGGTGAATTTTGCAGGAGGTAAGACTCAACTGATGGAAAGTTGCTTCGTAGACCGCAAATATTTGTAAAAGATATATTAAAATATTTAGGTGGTGGGGATGGTTTTTTAGGTTTTAAATTTTTGGTTACTTTGGTCATGATTTGGGTTTAATGAGAACTTGACTCATTCATAGATAGAGCACAGCCTCCTAATCAATGAGCTATGCAGTTGTCTCAGTCCTGTTAATTAACCCTAAGCCGTGACATAGGGCTCCTTATGTGGCCTTGACAATGCACACCAAAAGCATTAACAGGGACACCATCCATGCGCAACATGGCACTGTTAATACTCTGATATTTTGCAGCTGTTGATGGAATCAGCCTCTCTGAGAGCTACCACAGAGTTCGGGAAACCTTACTACCAGCCGGCCTCAGAACCATTAAACTGAGTTTTAGAGCTGTACCCTCATAAGGAGATAACAGGAAGAGTTGCATAGCCATTATCATAGAGGCATAAGCAAAATTCTATGAGTAGAGTCAAGGAGATCCAGCATTCATCATCCTAGGCAGGAAACAATGTAACACAGGTTACATCTACGCCAGCCTAATAGATGAAGAAGGGGTTCGAGGCTGGTTAGCAGAATTTTTCTGCTTACCCCTAAAGTCTTTGCCTAGGAGGCCTTCTACAAGACAGTAGCAGGATGCAGTTAACATCTGCCCAAGATGAGTATTTTTATCGAGACACCATCTCTAGCCTTTACTCAACCAAGAGCCCCAAGGCACGGGATGTTTAGCTGGATGCAGTTAACATCTGCCCAAGATGAGTGTTTTTATCGAGACACCATCTCTAGCCTTTACTCAACCAAGAGCCCCAAGGCAGGGGAATTTTTAGTCGGAGTTTATTTCTCCTAGCCTTTGCATAAGAAGAGCACACTCTGCAAGGCAGCAGGGCTTGTGGTAAGTGGTACTGGGTTACGTGATACCAGTAGCAAGATTGATCTCGATTATCCTGACCTGACCTGGGGTCGTTAAAAGGAGCTACTTCCCGCAACAGTACTTTGAGAAAACCAGGCATGACATTTTGGAAGTGCATAAGGAAAAACACTGCATCTAACAAAATACAGGAGTCTAAGGTGAGTGTACGTTTTGTAGTTGGAGTAAGTAGTTAGTTACTGAGCTCACGCTGCATTAGAGTATAAACAGAACACAAACAAACATAAATCAACTTACGGGTAAGTCAACACCGCGCCAGAGGTTCAGACAGAACACAAACATACATAAAAAACATAAAGTAACTTACGGGTGAGCGAACACCGCGCCAGAGGTTCAGACAGAACACAAACATACATAAAAAAAAACATAAAAAAAACATAAACATAAACATAAAGTAACTTACGGGTGAGCGAACACCGCGCCAGAGGTTCAGACAGAACACAAACATACATAAAAAAACATCAAAAACATAAACATAAACATAAAGTAACTTACGGGTGAGCGAACACCGCGCCAGAGGTTCAGACAGAACACAGACATACATAAAGAACATAAAGTAACTTACGGGTGAGCGAACACCGCGCCAGAGGTTCAGACAGAACACAAACATACATATAACGTAGATTACAGGTGAGCTAATACAGTAACTAAGGCACCTCCAACTATATGGGGAAAAAAAAAAAAAAAAAAAAAAATTACTATAGGCATGACTGATATAAGATAGTACTGATGACAGGAAGAACACTCCTTCCAGCCTTTGCTTAGATAGCAAATCCTGCAAGGCAGCAGAACATGGAACAGGTTGCACTGGGTTACATGTTACCAGTAGCAGGATGATCATGAAGACATACATATAGAACAAATATTTTCGAAACATTGCTTTTTTATAATTTTTTTTTATAAAATTAAGCGATGTTTTTTATATAAAGTAACAACTTACGATTGTTTAAAAGGGAAACAAATATTCTTTATTTAACTAAGTTTGCAAGTTTTAGTTTTACTTAAGCTTAATTTATTTTATAAATAAAAAAGTTAATTTTTTTAATACCTATTCTATGTTTCGCTTAGTTTGAAAAGTTTAACATATTTGAAGCGAGTCTTCTTAGTAAGATAAACAAATGAAATAATTAAATCATTGAATTACTATAGGAATTAAATTATCAAGATAGAAATCAACTAAAAAGGTTAAAAATACTTAATGACCAGGAAGCGAAACTGCTTCACAATATCGCTGATGATGTTTAGTGAGTGGGCTTTTTAATTTTAATTAGTATTTAAAGCAGAAAAAAGAATAACGAGTTTTAAGAATGGCAACTTAAGCGAAAATAATTAGAGTTAGTAAACCAATATCTAGAAACTTTTCTTTATATCTATTTATTTGCTATTATATATTTGTGTTCTGTCGTGACCTCAGGCGCGATGCTTGTTCATCCGCGAGTTACTTTGTATGCGTTGTTTGTGTTTAGTAACCAGAAACTTCTTATATGTTTGTTACATAATTAGTTTTAACTTTAACGATTATAACTTCATTGAAAACGCAATTATTTTTGTAAGTCTTTGTTTAAATCATAAAAATTGCTTTAAAAGATACATTACGATAAAAAACAAATACACAAAATTACATTTACATAAAGAATAAAATCTCTTTTAATATAAAAAATAAGAATATACTAATAAAATCTATGATTTATAATAAACTTTTAAAACTTTAACAATTTAATTAATATATATTTAAAACATTTATTTTCGTAAACAAATAATATATATTCTTAAAACAATGCTATCGTGAATAATACAAATTCTAAAACATTTTAGCAGAATACTCTAGAACTTTATTTCGCTTAATCAGCGTATTTTTTGAACCAATAGAATAAGTTTGTTTGTTAATTTGGCGGGTTTTTAGAGTTCGCAAATATTCTTTTTATTCTTTTGCACAATGATGTTTTAAGAACATTCAAGTTTTTTATGTTTCCATGTATGTCCGTAAAACAAAAATTCTTTGTTTCGTACATAAACTTAAATGTTCTCAAAACAACTAAAAAACCTGGCCAGTTTTACGCATCTAAATATAATTTCCGTGTTCAGTATTCAAGAGCGATCGCTCCCGCTTCCCGACCAAGCCTGTATATGTATATATATATATATATATATATATATATATATATATATATATATATATATATATATATATATATATATATATATATATACAACCTTCGGAGTTAGGGTTCGGCAATGCCGACCTCACTGCCGACCTAAACATTTTCGCGGTTGGCAAAAAAAATTTGGCTTTGCCCACCTGGTTTTGATGTTTTATGGTAAGACCTTTGTATTTGCTGAACTGATGCCGACCTCTAAAAGATTGAGGTCTTCAACCTCAATTTTCCTAATTCCGAGGGTTGTATATATATATATATATATATATATATATATATATATATATATATATATATATATATATATATATATATATATATATATATATATATATATATATATATATATATATTCAATTAAAAATAAATTTAGCAAATTTTCTTTATCTTTTGATGATAAAAAAACCATTTATCAATTGTCTAGATGCGGCATTTGTACATTATTTTGGATATGTCAAAATCTATGAAAGAAAGTGATTTACTGCGCCCTTCACGACTGGCGTGTCTTACAAAGGTAATAGTTTTAAGGCTTATATATTGTATATTACTTATGGTGTTTTCTTTATGAATAATTTGTTGTCAATTTTATAGTCAAAGATGACCTAAAAATCTTACTAAATTTTTCTTTAAAAAATATTGTAAGACAAAGATAATCAAATTATTTACAAAAAATAACAGCCTACTTTATTTTAATCAATAAAATTTTGGACTTGAATTGTTCTATACATGGAACCTCGATAAACTATTATTATTCAATGTGTAGAACATCTACAGCCCAAAGTATAGAACAAACAATGGTCCAAAAGTTGAACAACTCAACAAAGTGATATCAACTCAAATAGCAATAGTTTAATAAAAATAGGTGTTTCTTACTAAAAAAATACAACACAGCTTTATGTCAAAGTGATAGAAAGCGATATTTGTTCACTGTTTAAAAAGTTGTGTCAAAGATGTATTAAGGGACACTTTTTGCGCTGTTATACTTTAGGGTGTTTCAAAAAAAATGTAAGCGTCAAGTAGAGTGTTTTCCAACTCCCCATTACATGATGCTAGTTAATGAAAAGCTGTAAAAAAGAAGTTTGGCTTAAAAAAATAATATTTAAAACTTACCCAACGGTTTTAAAGTTTTTTTAAAATTCGTGTTAAAATCTGTGATTGCAAGTAAAAGAACAGACCTATGACTTTTGTAGTCTATGAGTTTAGTAATTCTTATCTGAAAATTTGTTTAAATCAAACTTGTTCAAATCAAATTTGTTCAAAAATCAAAATGATCAATGATTTTTTTTCTATAATTTATTCAAAGACTGTGCAAACTTGATGATACCATCTTTCCAAGGTGCGGTCATACTTGCTAAATTGTTATCTTCAACTGCTATACATAATGAGTTCTAGTCAATATATGGTTAAAAGTCTTTAAAGTAGCCAACTAATTCCATTATTTAGTCTTTTGCAGTATTTGCTGAGCTTGTATTGGTTCAGACACCGCCATTCAGAATGCTGTTTGTGTACGTTTTCAACCATAATCATAAAAAATTGCATTAAACAGTAGTATTGAGTGAGTTAGTAAAGACAATGTGCAAATTAAAAGATTCCAATGGTTTTAATAAGCTTTCAAAAGTTGCCAAAAAAAAAAAAAAACTAAACCAGAGTAGACTATGGTCCAGAGTACATGGTAACCATACAACCAGGTGCCCATCCCTAATGTCACAAAAAACAGTATTATGTGCTAGTATAATCAAACAATTTACCAATATAGTTGTTAAATGGATTGTGTCATAAATTTGTTGTGTTGAAAAATAACTTTACCTCACTTCTAATATTGTTTTGTATTTTTCTAATGTGATCACCATATGTACATAGTTCAAAATATGATGCTAAAGGGAAAAAATTGACTGAAAATATAAGTTTTGATTTTTGAGCACAAATCTATGTATGTATCTATGTATTTTTTATTTTGATTCCAGTTAGTTCTTGGCTCGTCTTATTTTTTTTAAAAAATAGTTTGCTTTAGTTGTAGAACTGCTCAATAAGTGCCCTGCTAGGTTCAGCAATGTTTTTGCTTGACAGGACTTTAAAGAGGGCTATTACAATTACATTTTGCATATTTGGACTATTTTGGACATTTTCTCCAGATATTTTTTTATTGTAATAATGTTTTTTGTTTTTGCTGTTTTGTAATTTTTTTACCTTTAAATTTTTTTATTTTTTTTTATTTGTGGTTTTGTTTTTATTTTATTTAAAAAAAAGAATTAAATTTGCATTAGGTTTTAATTATTAAATTGCATTTTGAGTTGATTTAAAAAATTCATTTAAACAAGTAATACAAAACTTTGTACTCAGAAACAATTTACTTGCAACTGTTTTAGTCAATACTATTAATTGAAATTTGTAAACTGTAGTAAAAAATTTCTATTTGAATTTTTTTATTAAAATAAAAGTTACATTGTTATTTGTGCAAGAAAATATCAACCTGTTTTTTAACTTTTATTTACTAAAGAATATTTCACATCTATGTGAAGTTTTTTAATATTTTCCTTAATTTTTTTTTTTTTTTTTTGATTTTATTTAAAAGTTATTAAGTTCTTTAATTTATGTATCCACCTAATAGTATGCTGGCCTAAATTTTGAGTATTAGATATTTATTACAACCATACAATATTTATTTTTAATTATTATTAGTTTAATACCCAATAAATCAATAGTTTATTATTGTGTTTTTTTTTTGTTGTTGTTGCTTTTTTGTTATTATTGTTTTCTTTTGGTTTTAGCTTCTGGAGAATTTCATTGTTGAATATTTTGACCAAAATCCAATATCTCAGGTATTCTTTTACAATAAAATAAAAATCTAAATAATTAGTTGTTAAAAAATTTTAAAAAGTATCAAAATTTGTTTTGTAAGTTAAAAAAGTTTAATAAAATAATTGTTAAAGTGATACACAGTATGTGACAAAGTTGTCACCATGTTTGAACGAAGAAGCGTCTAATATTTTTTTTAACAAAAAGACTGAGAAGAAAAATTAAGTTTTAGTTTTATTAATTAGATTTAAGACTTAGCTAACTAAAAATATTGCTTTTTATTAAATTTAGAGGATATTGAATTTTTTTATTTTGTAAAGAGCTAATATTGACAATATTGTTGCAAATAAAAGAAGTTGGCGTAATTTTGTATAATAAATTATGCAACATAAATTAATAGCCTTATGACTAGTATAATGGAGTTATCAACTTTCTCCTAAAGTTTTTAATGATTTAACATAATTTAAAGTTAGATTTTGTTTACATAACAGTAAAAAAAAATATTGTTGTTATCATCATGATACAAATTAATCTTGAATTAGAAAAAAAAGTTGCGGAGAGACTTAAATCTGGAAGATTTTATCATGAAATCTAGAAAATTTTATCATGAAATCGCAGCTGCTGTTTTTTGAAATCAATCAGCAGAAGCTGAGTTTGGAAAGTCTCATCTCATAATCTCATACATAAGTCTTATAATCTCATACATAAAATCAATTTGCTCAATGGTTTACTTGTAAATAAGGCTAAAAGTGGTTGAAATATAATTTTTACACCAAGAAACCAAAGAACAATTGTCTTGTTGCTTCTGGAGAGTCTAAAACTGCTACAAATTTAATGAATAATAGCTATGGGACTCATACCTCAGTTCAGACAGTCTATCAAGGGCTCAAACAAATTGGTTTTTAATTCAGAAAGAGGTTTTCTTGAACTTCTTTTTGAATTGAAATTGTTGGTTACTTGGCACCGCCAAGCTTGTTTAAATTATGCTAAACTTTGTGCAAGCAAGGCTTTTGATGGCATTAATGATTGGATTTGAATAGATAAAAGTAAAATTAACATATTTAGATCAGATGGTATAAGATATACCCTGAGAAAGTCTAATTCACCATTAAGTGCTTGAGATTATACACTAACCGATAAACATGGTAGAAAAAAACTCTTGTTTTGTGAATGTTTCTGTGCTAGTGGATAGGGATGGCAATCCCGGGATCCAAAAATTCCGGGAATTCGTACAAATTGTTCACCCCAAAATCGCAGGTTTATTCTCCGAAATCTCCCGGAATTTTGAAATATTCAAAAAAAAAGTAAATTTAATAAAGTTTAAGTTTATAATTGTAATTAAGTAATTTGTATATCTTCTTTAGTATAGTAGCTGTAACTGTTTATTCTCTTTGCAATGTTTTCCTTTTAAAACTCTCTCTTTCTGTATTTTATTAAAAATCATTTGCAAGTGGTTGAAGTTCTATTTTTATTTCCATTAATTTTAATTTCAAATGTGCGATTTATGAAAATGTGTGATTTACAATTTATTTTAGTAATATTATCATTAAATTCATGATTTTTAAGTGTTTGATGAGTGCTTAAAAAGTATTAAATTGCGTTTGCTTTTTCTATTCAATCCCGGGATTTCTGGGGACAAATTTCTCAATCTCAAAATCCTGGGATTGAAAATTTCTGGAATTTTTGCCATCCCTACTCATGGAGTTAGAGAATTAGTGAAAATAATGGAATGATGAAAATTAATGGAATAATGAACGCTGATGACTATATTAACATCCTTAAAATCTGATATTTCAAGTCACTTTGAAAATTGGGCAGAACTTAACACAACATGATGTTCATGCAAGATCACGACCCCAATCATAAGGCTGATAAAACCTTTACATTCCTTCACAAGAAGAAATTGAAATTCTTTAACTAGCTAACACAAAGTATTGATCTTAACCCACTCGAATATTTATGGGCAATAGCTAAACAATGGGTCTACAACTTTCTCCACTCCACACGATAAGGACAGGTTTTTAAATGTCAAGAGTGAAAAAGAACTGCAGATAAGTTTGCTTTGACTAGCTACAAGCATATTTGAGTTTTACAGAACCAAATCATGCAATCAAAATCTGAATCATGTTATTCAGTTTAATGTTTTAATTTAATCAGTTTAATTTAATGTTTGTCTAGTGAAGTTGTAAATTTTTTTTCCTTATTATTTGGAATATTTCATTGCAGATTTTTCTTTTAATAAAATAGTTTAAATGCAATATTATGAATTTTTTTAAATAAATATAAATTTTCATTGAGTTTATTCTTTTAAAAACTTTGTTTTACATGTAAATATTTTTAACAAACCTAATCTTATCTATTTATATGTTTGTGTTTATGTGTGAATTTATATATATATATATATATATATATATATATATATATATATATATATATATATATATATATATTTTTTTTTTTTTTTTTTTTTTTTAACATCTTCACTTCCAACAAGGCTGCAAGCAACCACTATAAGAGTTGGAAGTTACTGGAAGAGAAAAGACTAAATCTGTAGAGCAAGATAACGATTGACTGATGACTTAAAAGATTGCAAATTATATGAATCAGGAAAGCAAGATGAAGGAAGCGAATTCCAAAGAACTGATGTTCGAGGAAAAAAACTAGAAGAATAAGAGTTTTTGAAGCACTTAGGAACAGTCACAGAAAAAGGATGAGACTTAATTGAATGGCGAGTAACACGAGAATGAATTTTAGTAGATGGCACAAGGGACGCTAGCTCTTTAGAGCAGTGCCCATTATAGTATTTGTAGAAAAGAGAAAGAGAAGCAACATTACGACGATGTGACAAAGGTTGGAGATTGGCTGCCAGAGCAGGTCCAACTATGTTTACAATTCGTATTTGCACCTTGTCTAAAAGAGAAAGAGCATCATTAGAAGATCCGCCCCAGATGTGGCAACAGTATTCCATACAGGGACGGATTTGAGATTTATAGAGATAGAGAATAGAATCTGGAGTAAGAAAGTCTCGAGCTCGATAAAGAGATGCAACCTTAGCAGATGCTAATTTTGCAATGGATTTGATATACGGTTTAAAAGAAAGATCAGAAGTAAGAGTTAATCCTAGAAGATGAATGGTAGATGACTCATCTAGTACATTACCATTCATAAATATAGGAAGATCTAAATTATTACGATAACGATTGGCCGAATAAAATTGAGTTTTATCTGAATTAAAGTTCACCAGCCACTGTGAGCCCCATGCTGTAGCAGAAGTGAGATCCTTTTCAAGCTCAGATACCCCCTCCAAGCAATCAGAGAGTGTAGGCTTCTTATCATGACAAGAGTAAATGGTAGTGTCGTCAGCGAATAATGCCACCTTAGATGTGAGAATATCTGGAAGATCGTTAATGTAAATTAAAAAGAGTATAGGGCCAAGGATTGAACCTTGAGGAACCCCTGAAGTTACAGGATGTGAAGAAGAGTGTTGTCCATCGAGGACAACTTTTATACTACGATTGGAAAGAAAGGACTCAATAATCTTAAAGACGTTACCAGCTACACCATAAGAAGAAAGCTTATGGAGAAGACCAGCATGCCAAACTTTATCAAAAGCTTTAGAAATGTCAAGTGCGATAGCCTTAACCTCTCCACCTCTATCTAATGCACGGTAAAACCTATCGGTTATTACTGTTAGCACATCAGCTGTAGGACGAGAAGACCGAAATCCATATTGATGATCAGAAAGTAAGTTATTTGATTCAAGATGAGAGATTAAGTGTTTGTTGATTAAAGATTCAAAAACCTTGCTTATGACAGGAAGAAGACTAATGGGACGGTAGTTAGATGAATCAGATCACTCTCCGGAATTTTTGAAAATAGGGATAACAGATGCTGCTTTCCAGCATGATGGAAAACAAGACTCTGATAAGCACTTATTAAATAGTTTAGAGAGTATGGATGAAAGCTCAGGAGAACACCTCTGCAAGACTACAACAGGAATGTTGTCAGGACCACAAGCTGTTGAAGAGTCTAAGCAGGAAATTACTTTAGATACAGAAGCTGAAGTGATGCGAATGTCAAGCAAGGGATCAACCTGTTTGACGGCTATGTCAGGTAAAACGCAACTAGTGGAATCAAGAGATGATATTGATGAAAAGTTCTTAGCAAACAATTCAGCTTTGTCTTTAGGTGAGGTGACAAAGTCTGAACCATACAAGAGAGAAGGAATAACAGATTTGCCCTTATTATTGATACTGTTAAAGATTCTCCAGAAGTCTCGAGAGCCTAATTTTTGTGATGAGATACGAGATTTAATGACCTGGGAATAGCGAGCTTTAGCGTCAGACAAAACCTTTTTACAATGGTTTCTGGCGATAGTGAACAGATGTCTGTTTTCTGGAGAATTGTTTTGCTGATAGATATGGAAGTAACGGTTTCGATTAGAAATTGCTACTGCGCAATGTGAGGAAAACCAAGGAGAAGAGTGAGGCTTGACCTGGAATCGTCGAGAGGGAATAAAAGATTCCATGCCAGCCTGAATCCACGAAGTTATGTAAGAAGCACATTTGTCAGCAGGAAGACGAAAGATTTCTACCCAAGGGCCATCACGAAGAAAATCACGGAAAGAGTCCCAGTCAGCTTTAAGGTAGTTGTATGTGGTACGATGATAGGGGGATTCTGATGAAGTAGAAGAATTTGATAATAGTTTTAGAGAGATCAAACCGTGATCAGAAGTACCTAAGGGTGAATGTGGAGAAATTGAGCACTGACTAGGATCCAAAACAAGACATAAGTCGAGTAGAGAAGGTAAATGATTAGGGTTGTCTGGAAAACGAGTTGGAAAGTTGACTATTTGAGTTAGAGATTGAGAAAGGCAAAAGTTGAGAGCCTTAACGCCAGCAGAGTCACTGACACTAGAGCCAAGCCAATTGGTGTGATGGGCATTAAAGTCACCAACAACGACGATATTGGCCGATGGATAAAGAGAAAGGGCTTGGTCAATTTGATCAGAAATAACATCAAG